ACCACAGAGCTCCAGCCCTTTTGCAAACCAAGCTGGTCAAGACCACAACCAGAGCAGAGCTGTTTGTCTCTTCAGATACCTCAAGAAGTGCAAGGAGTGCTAACATGAACCTTTCCTGGGATTACTGTCCTCTAGGGACTGAACTACTGTGTGGAAATACAAGTAGAAGATCTAAGAATAAAGTAGAAGATCTAAGTAAAGAAACAAGTAGAATACCTAAGTAAAGAATCCAATAGGATATTCTGAATTTGCATCTTAAACATTTCTTTCCACGCCACGCTGTAGAAACACAATGGAAGCAGACTTGGCAAATATCATCCATGTGTTCCACAAAATGACTGAGGGAGCACAATGTGAACATTACTCCTGGACTGGATCAAGAGAATGCATTAAAAAAAATTGCATAAGTGGAATAGAGATATACATTAACTCAATGTTTCTTATTATGGAATTAAAAAATGTATACCTGTAATTATGGCTTACCCCCATTACAAGCAGAGCTGCCACAGAACTGAACAGAGGCAAGCTTTGTGAAGGAGTTCAAAGTCAGTGTGATGTTGCCTTATTTTCTTATTAACATCATCTTTATCCTCTCTTGCCCTTCTTCTCAGTTAACAAGAGTTATGTACTGAAAGTGCTGAGATAAAGTAATGGTAAGGAGGATACCGCAAAAGGTATTTGAAAAGCAGAAGTAATTTACTACATGTCTGCTTTGTTTTACTTCCTAAGCCTTCCTGTTGTGAAAGGAAATTCATCTTTTCTGGCAGACTCCAGCCTTTTCAGGTCGGAGAGCTCCCCAGGAGCTTTCGAGTGCAGGTAAATGGATGTGAGACTCAAGGAGTACAGCCCAAGGAACATGGGATTAATGCTGGGGCTTGCTTTGGCTGTCACATCTGACGTACAAGGAGACTGCTGCACCCTTGGTCGCAGGAAATATCTGTAAAAGAAACAAAGCTGAGTCCTTTGCTCATCACTGCAGGCCTGATGTGCCACGAAGGGAGAGGTCGTGCTGCTGCTGGTGGTGGGTGAGGCGTGAAGGATCTACACCCAGGTGGGTGAAGCGTGGAGGATCTACACCCAGCAAAGTCCCACCATGAGACAGACACCAGGGTGCCTCAGCAGAGCAAGTGGAAGCCCAGAGGAAGGGCTGTGGATGGACAATGGGTTGCAGCCTGTGTCCTGCACACAGGAGCAGGCACGGGGGAAGCATCCACTGCCTGATGGAAATAGCACACAGAGTGGTTTTGTCCTCTTCTGTTCTCCGGCCAGTTTGCACATATGTTCTGAGCATACAGCCTGCCCTCCAAAGACCACTTACAGGGGCAATCACAGGGAAGCAAAGCAGGAAGAAAAGTATCCAAAAAGGGAATTTGTTCAAGAGAAAAAAATGGAGACAGATGTAGAGCGGCGAGTCACGGCTGGCGGTAAATAACCCTCTGCCTGGAGTGCTCTCCTTCTCCAAGAGGAGTTCACATATTCCATTTCATATTTCCTTTCTAGGAAGTCAAACCTTTGTTTTCTGGCATTTTTTCTTTTTCCCTTCTGTATGGTCTAAAGCTTGTCTTCTCATTTGCCCTTTCTCTTCTAGGTTTTGCTCTCTTTGAAGTGCATTTGTTCCATCTCCCTCTCCCACAGCCCTGATTTCCCTGCACTGTCCCAGGCCACACCTTTCAGTACCACCCTCTCCCAGTGCCTGTGCCACCAGCACGTGCGTGCTTCACACCTGCTCCAGGGTTTGAGTCTCCCCTCTTTCTCATGTGCACATCTCAAAATTAAGCAGATGCGACACACAGAGATGGACTATTCATCCTCTCACTCCCATAAACCTGTCAAGGCATATAGGCCAAGAAGCTATCTCTGCATAAATCTAAATCTCCTGTGAGGAAGCAATCTACTCAAAGGCAATAAAGGCAAAGGATGTATTATTATCTTTGGTGTGGATCCTACTGGGCTGGGAGGTTGGCTGCTGGCTCCTCTCTGAACTTTCCTTCCCAGCCAGAGCAGCCATCCCACAGACAAGTCTAAGCTTCCTTTCCTTGGTCTGATTTCTTCCTCCTGTTGTTTGGCCAGTAACCCAAAGGACAGGGTTTAATTATGGACTTTGGAAACCTGGCTTGCACTACTCTGCCAGCACGGGATAAAACCTCAGCCTGTCTTCTGAAACAGCCCCATTCTATGTGCACTGCTGATACCTGTGTTATCCCACACAGCACAAAATGAGCTGCAGGGAAGAAGTGCCAAGCTAAACAAAAAGATGGGTTTAGTCTTTAAACTTCTACTGCAAATTTCACTGAGAAGAAAACAAAACACCGAAGCTCAGAGATTACTGTATGCTAAAAACTGTGCCACCATTTTGATTGTAGATTAAATCAATGGCAAGGCCTTTCTCTGGAAATAAAGACATCGGAAAGGATGGATCTGAATCTGGTCCAGGCCCCAAAGCTCCCTCTCAGAGAGGACTGCTGTGGAAAGTTCCCAGCTAAAATGGGATGTTAGCATCACTTGTGCAGTTTTCAGGTGACCAAATTATTTTCTAGGCAGATGCCCCACTAAAGACTCCTCAAACATTTTGGAGGTGAAACTTCCATGTCAAACACAAAAGGCCACAGGTTAGTGTCACACCCAGGTGTGATGTCTGTGCACAGACCACAGCAGGACGTGTCCCTGGGGGGAGAACCTCAGGCCAGTGACACACCACTGCTGCCCTGGCAAGGAAGGACACTCAGCACTGTTTTGTCCTTCACCACTGATGAGCTGTGGCTCTTCAGGTAATCCCTCTGTCAGCCGTGCTCTTGCAGTGACCCTGTTTCACAGAGAAGCTGAGGCAATGAATTCAGAGGACAGGCTGCTGGAAAGCCAGGGCAGAAGCACTGGGGTAGGGCTGTGTGGATATAGCACAGGGATGGCTTGGAAGTGCATCCCACGTGGGCAGGATAAAGAAAGCTCTTTTTCTTCACAGCTGTGACAGTGATAGATGGCTTGGTGAATCTGAGCTATATCTAGTTGGTACCTGGCTACAGTCCCTGATGCTGCAAGGTGATTTTCTGCCATTTTACAGGCAAGACTAAGCAGAATCTGGGATTTTTCTATAATAAGTGAGGAAGGTCACGAGGAAAGAAGAACCTTCTCTTGTCTGACTTGTTCTTGCCTTTCTGAGCACCTCAGGAAGTTCGACATAGGCAGCTGTGTTTCCTCATGATGGGCACCCAGTGGTGCCAAGAGCAGCAGAGGTGCTTTGGGTACTTCCCTTGCCCATCTCAGCAGCTCAGTGCCACCATCAAGCCAGGGCTTGGACGAGCCAGAGGTAATGACCACATGTGGGGAAAACCACCAGCAGTGACAGCAGAATTGATAGCCAACCCCTGGCTGTTGCACAAATGGAGAACATTTGTCATTTACAACGAGTACCCCAAACTTTGGGGGGAGCTGTCCCCCAGCCTGGCAGTGATGCAGAAGCAGTGACCCCACCAGTTTCCAGCCATCTGTGTCTGCAGAGCAGGCTGGGATCTGTCCCTCCAAGCCGGGCTTTTGTCCGCGCTCCTGCCGCTCCGTCAGCACAGGTTCAGCACAAGGTGAAGCTCTGCCTTACATCATCTGCAGCATGGAGCTGATGGAGGGGACAGCCCCTGGTGCCTGGGAGCAGGACACCTCAGAGCAAACAGCAGAGCCCTGGGGACGGCGGTGGCAAGGCAGTCACGGGGAGCCTGGCACTTGTCTGCCTGCAGGTCCACCCTCTCCTCCTGCCAAAGTGCCACATCTGCAGTCAATAAGGGCCCACAAGCTGGCTCCTCCTCATTAGAGGAGAGAGGGCAGCTGGCAGGGGATCCTCCAAGGGCTCCCAGGCACAGGAATCAGTCTCCTCCCAGTCTGGAATAGCCCAAATTTGGTGACTTTCTGGGCATGCTGTAAAGGACAGCTGTTTGACAGGGTCTCCAGAGAAAGCTGTGGGTATGTTTCCTACATGATGAAGGATATAGGTGGCTGGCCAAGTGCCCACAGAACTGATTTTAATGCTGTGCAGGTCGAATTCACTTTTCTGTGCTGTATAGTTCATTATACACAGTGCCCTGGACAAGCATGTGTTTCTGCCAAACAAACCAAACCCATACTATTTTAAATCCAGACGAACAAGAAAGACAAAAAATACGTATTGCAAAAGATCCTTTGCACTTTTAGAGGACCTTCCCAAACCCTGGGAGGCACTGCTTGCTTTCCTCTAACAAATAAGACTTCTGTTATTTTTATTGGCAATAAATACTTGATTATTTAGCTGTAAGCAACACTGAGGCATTAACTTCACCTGTGCACATAGCACTGACCCAGAAAAATATTTCCAAGAGTATTAAGCACCCAGATGATCTCAGGATAAGTGATCAATGGACAGTCAAGTATGTAACATAACATAACCCAAAATAATGATCAACAGGAAAGATCACACACAAAAATTAACTGAGAAGAGGCCAAAGAGCTTCCTCAACATTCTGAAGAGTAACATCCAGTGATATCTATTCTGATATGAAGCCTCCAATCACACTTCACAGCATTACAGATTAATAAAACAACTCCTTCTGTAAGTCTCTTAAAAGTCATTACTGAGTGATCTCAAGTGTTGTATAATGCTTGAAAAGCCCTTCTACCTTATATAAGTTTAGGGATATTTATTTAAGCAGCATAACTGATGGAGCACAGCCCAGACAGGTACTGCTTTTTGCTAGAAAAAGCTATCCCAGAACTGGATCTGGACAATTTGACAGAAAAAGACCGCCTATCTTCTGCTGCATTATTTAAATACTTCAGATATTTGGCCAAAACACAGAAGTGACACACTACAGAAACATTCACAGCTGCAGGAGCAATAAAACCACTGCCATATTTTCATGAGGCCGTTTCTCGGAAGTGACGAGACGTCTAGAGCTGGTCACCTCTCTAACACAGCAATCCTGATAACGAAACAGAGCAAGTGGAGATGAAGTTCTGGGGCTCTGGGAGCCGGGGCTTACCTGGCTCCACTTCATGCCATCCACTGGACTGGCTGCCACTGCCTGGAGAGCGCCCTTGGCTTGTGTAGAACGGCTCCTCACCAGGGCTGTCCATCTCATCCTCCACAGACTTGAGACGTTTTGTGGAGCTGAGAATGCAAGGAACACACAATGAGGGCATGGAAGAGGAACCAAGGCACTGCTGTTGGGACATGCTTGAGAATAACTCAAGGTAGAACAGATTTAGGGCGCTTTGGTGAGATACAAAACAACATTTCACAGGCTAAACCCCTAAACACGCACCAGTTTGACCAGAAGTTAGTCTGACATTTAGGCTTTCACAGATTCAGAGTAGGACATTTTTCAAAGCACACAGAGGTCAATAAAAAGGCAAGAATTTCATCTGCATTGCATGATTCTTGCAGTTTGAATGAATATGGTGATGACACACGAGACTTATTTTCATTGCCAGATTTTTTCACGGCTAATTCTGAAAGCAAATTGTTTATCAGTTCAAATTTTTACTTTCAATCTTTTCAATTAGCCCAGTCCCATAAGAAGGAGCATAGGCAAGTGGATGATGGAAGGATACATTTTTGGTTCAAATGTTCACGCTATCCTACAATAAGAAGCATTTGACTCTGCAGCTGTGCCAGCAAGCACAGAAAGCCCCCAATGGGTATCTGTGGCCAGTGTCAGCATTAAAGAATCCCCCTGTGATACATCACACCTCCCTCACCAGAGGCTCAGGACACAGAAGAGCCCTTTGAGTGGTCTCTGGTGGCCGCTGGCTCCAGCAGTTCTGCAGGGAGAGGATCCCAGAGCCAAAGACACTCAGCTTGGCTCTGTTTTCCATAATGAGTTGTACAGACTGTGTGGGGACCTTACTGAGAATTTCTCTTCTAAGTACTTTTCCAAGGCTGGGCCAGCTCACTTTTTTTTTTTTCTTTTCCCCCAAATCTGTATTCTATTAAGACTTAAGGCATTCAAGAACAGGCTGCTCTGTGTGGGGGGAACACATTTAGCAGACATAAAATCTTCCACTCTCGGTTTAGAGCTTGCAGCCTCCCCACCCGAAGCTCTGCACAGGTAGGAGCTGGCGGGTGTGCAAAACCAGTTGGTGAGAAACAGGAAGAATAAGTCTTGTGGCATGTGTGGAATGCAGGTTTGGCCATTCCTTAATTTAGAGAATTGTTATGTGTCAATAGGGGAAATTGTGTGCATACAATATAATTACCGCCTGATAATTCTGCTGAGTCTGTGTATTTAAAGAATTTTTTTTTTTTTTCTGACTGGGAACAGCCTAATGAGAGGAAAACAAACATATTACCAAGTTATTAACTACCCATGCTGTTTATAATTAGCTCCTTATCAGTGGTAGCTATTTGCAGAAGAATAGAAGAGCAACAACTGAGCTCTTAAGTAACATTAATAACCTCACTTTTGCTTCTGGAGTCACCAGTAAATTCTACCTGAGAGTGGTGCTAATGATGAGTGCTGTAGGCTACACAGTTTACAGGCAAGAAAGAAACAGCACAAAGTTTTTAATTGATGTGTAGTGGGAATTGTAGTCACTGAGCTCCATAGCATGCACACTAAGTGCAAGACAGAATGTTCTTCCAATCACTGCAAACTGTAAGAAGTTACTGCTAAGAGCCTCTCGTTAAAGATTATTATTTTTAAAATAAAAACAACAGCTATATTCAAACTACAGAGATTTTTCACACGTGCACTTGCTCACTGCAAAGCTGGTGGCACTGCAGGCTGAGATAAAAATGTAAAAGAGCGTTAGGCAGGAGTTGGACTTTCTTGTCATGTCTTTGAAATAAGTGATCTATTTTGGCTGTGGGGGAAGAAAAATCAATCTGGTTCCTTAATAGTGTTCAAGACTACTCGAGTGACTGAGCTTGTTTATAAATCTAATCTCATGGATGATTAAAGTGAAAGGTAAAAAATAAAAAATATCCTTGTTTGATAGTTGGCATCTAAATCAAAATCAAAATCAGATGGGGCAGTCATCTGCATTAGCAATTTGGTTTTCCAAAGGCTGAGTCACAAACTTCTAAATGCTTTATGAAAACTAAATGCTTTATAGACCAAGATCCTAAAACAGTCTTAGTCTCACAGGTATCACTTTTTACAATAAAAAATACATTTAAGTCTGTCTTAAGACTTTCCTTGCATCTTATTATGCTCCAAGTTCTCTTCTGCCACAAGCCAAAACTCAGCAATTCCAGTGGAACTTCTCCTGATACACCCAGATAAAACCAGGAGCTACACAGGTCCACGCAGCAGTTTTTCTTAGAGGCTTGCACACACAAAAAGAACTTTACTGCAATCCAGCTGAACATTCAACTCTGTGAATCTGAAACAGCTCCACATCGTGAGGCCCCCAAACAGCTTGTCAGAGAATTTAATGGTTACTTTCCCAGATGAGTAATGATGCTGGCCTGGGTTTCCAAGGAACCTGGTGGTAGGCAGGGATTAAATTACCTGGTAGAGGATGTGCTAGGTAAAGACCTCCTCATTGCTCCTGGGCTCATGCTGTAGTACGAAGAACTTTCCAAATCTGAGAGGGAGAAATTAGGGCCTGTTCCTGCAGCTATCGGTGCTGGGGAAACAAAAGAGATTGCAGTCAGTAAGTCATGTGAATATGGCATGAATTGCACTTCAAAATCACTTTCTTCTTCCTCATGGGTGTGTTTAGTTTCACGATGGGAACAGGTGGGATGTGGAAATTAGGAAATGCTAATGGTACCTGGCATTGCAATCAAGAAGATGGAAATTTTATCAAGAATACAGTGTTCCATGACATAGAATCTCTCTTACATTCCTCCAAAGATATTATTATTATTTTTTAAAATTAAACAATTACGGCACTACTTCCTCTAAGCGCTGCTTTTCTATTAATGTCATTCTAACATTTAATGAAACTTGTTGCTTTTAGGACCACGTTGTCTCTATTGGCATGGTTACAGATAGGCTGCATCATCCCTGTAGAGTGCTTGGCAGGATCTATAAGCAGCACAGGCAGGGAAATACACACCTCAGAACCTCTGGGGTACGTGTGATGTACAGCCACAAGCACAGGGGTTAAAAAAGCAGATGAGAAACTTGAGTTCTTTTGTGCCTAAGAGCATCTGAGCTTTCCTCTGGCCTCTCCTCCAGCTAAATCAGAGCTAGAGACATACGACTTCCCAAAAGTCTTATCCAGCAGTGACCTTCCACTCTTCACCCCATCACCTTACCCAGTACTGAAATTTTTCTTGCAAGGGATACGAATCCCTGCAATTTCCCTGCCCTGGATCTTTGGTTTCACATTAAACATCACAGATTCCTACACACCCTGAAATTTGCAGGCACAAGCCATGAACTCCATGTGCTGTATTCTTCTGGGAGCAGACAAGGAGCAGAGCAGCTTAACGTTGGAGCCAGCAGAGAATGGATTTCGTGCTGAAATGCCACTAATACAGCAAATGGTACCACGTCCACTGTGGCTGTTCCAGTGCTATTCACAGGACAATGCAACTTCGGGGGCTGACAATCACAGATCATGAGTTTCTCTCACATTTCAGAGCCATCTGAAACAAGGACGTCCTGCACAATGAAATGCACCAGCTTGGCCTGGGCTGCATTGTCTGAGAGCCCTGATTCACAGCCACAAAGGCAAGGCAGTCTCAGTGCCACACAGGGATGCCGAGCCAAGTTTAATCTTTGGTCTGAGAACCTGGCCCATTTTCAAACATGAAAAAATCTTTCAGTCCAACGGGGAAGGAGTGAGGAAATGAAGACAGGATAGCTCCTATCACCCAGCTAACATGTCTGGGCTGGGAGTGCTGCCACTGACTGTAACGGGGCCAGTATTTCACCCCAAGTCTTAAGGAGCTCACAATGTCAGATTTGACAGAGGAATAATGTAGCTTTGCAGCTGCCTCATCATCCCCACAAGACAATTAGTTGTTGTTTGGCAAGGATCTTTTAAGAACGTCATTGAGACAGAAAGGGAACAGCCTGGATATCCACGGACTTCTAAAAGCCGGGGACGGAAAATGCACAAGGCCATTAAAACTTGAGAAAATCTGGAATGGTCATTAAAAGGAATTAAGTTGGGAAGTAATTTATGACAAGAACACTCAAATCCTTTGTTATCTTCTCTTAACTATCATGGGCTTCCTGCACACTGGGTGTATATGAGAGGGTGTGTTAACAGAGGCAAAGAAAAATTAAGCACAGTAAAATTAACTGGTTTTATCAATTTGTGCTTTCTGCAACAGTTTCCTGACAGCAGCTACAAGAGGCTGTAAAACTGATGAATTTGCATGGAAAAAGAAACTGGTGTAAGTAATTTGTGTAAAAGGTAACAGGGACATGGACTGCTATAATTCAGACACCCTGCAGATAGCAGACTGCTGCAGTGTGTGCAGTTATGGGTTAGAAAAATGACCACACTGCAGTCAGTCTGACTTGAATGGAAATCAATCATAAAGGTACTCTCTGCAGCATCTACTCCACAGTTTTCAGCAACTTCCTTGCCAAACAGATTTGTGCTCTGCAAACCCTTTCCTGAGCAATTCCTCTGCACTCTCTGCCTCCCAAACTTACAGGTTAAGCACAGTTTTCCAAACAGGAACATAAAAAGGCAAGCATTAAATTAAAGCACTGTTTCTTTCTGAGGCACAATGAACTTCCTGGACATTGCCAGATTTATGAAACAGTTTTATTCCAAGGAGATAAGGAAGAAAAACTGGTATGTGGGTAACGCTTCCCTTCTTTCTTTCCCCCTGCCCCCTTTATTGCCCTTTCCCCAAATCCTGGATATTTCTTGAGTTGGCCCTATAGAAAAAAGGAATGTGTCTTCAGAGCAGGGGTAGGGTAGGAACAAGCTATTGCTGATGCTGGGTGAACTCAGTGCATGGCAGAAAGGGCTGACCCCACAGGGGCTGATGCCTGGGGAGCAAACACTGAGGATGCTGTGCTGGTCACTGGCCAAAACCACCTTGCCACACTCAAATGCCAGTGTGAAACCAGGGGGTTAAAGAACAAAACTCACATTTAATAGACACCAGCAGAGGTTAAAGTGCCTGGCTGGGCTGTGGGGGCCAGTTCCTGAACCTGTGGCAGTCCTTGCACAGGAGCCACCACCCTGCCACCATCAGCTCAAGGTCTCTGCCCCAGAAGTGCTGTGGCAAAGGTTGCACAGGGCTGAGCTGCTCCAAAATCCCTTCTCCTGCCTTTCTGACACTGCCTGTATTCCATCAAAGCCCATTTGTACCTTTGCTTGCAGTTATTGCATTTATTGCCATAAATCACAACAGCGTGCTGGAGCTGTGGCTGCCCCATCCCTGGGAGTGTCCAAGGCCAGGATGGAGCAACCTGGGATAGTGGGAGGTGTCCCTGCTGGAATGAGATGGGCTTTAAGGTCCCTTCCAACCCAAACCATTCTGGCATCCTATGACTCCCAGCAAAGGCAGCATGTCTGCAGAGTATGCAAAGGGATCAGAGTGGTGCAAACTGTGCCAAAACTCTTATCTAAACTAAAAAACTATCTAAACTAAAAAACTGTCTAAACTAAAAAACACTGTCCAAACGAAAAAAACTCAGTCTAAACCAAACCTGTTCCTTGCAGCATGTGGCAATCCATCACACAACCTCCCTACCCCTGTTCCTACGCCCCAGGAGCACACTCCAGCCCTACGTGGAGCAGCGTGCTGGGAGCTGCAGCCTCACAAACTCCAGGCAATGACATCTAAACCACACCATTACCCCTGCAAGAAATGCTCTGCAGCAAAGTGACCTCCTGACAGCTCAGGAACATCCCCCAAATGGGAAAGGACGTCAGAAACTGCAACTGTGACTCAAAGCAAAAATCTCAAGATGCCTCCTGACCCAGGGCTGTGAGCTGGAAGGGGGTGAGAGGGAAGGATCCCTCTTGCCCTACACCCAGCCTGGAGCCCCCATTTCAGCTGCTGGCATCACAAAAATTCCCTGTGCAGCTGGGACACACTCAGAGAGGGGCAGGAGGAGCTGGTTTGCCCAAACAGAGGAGGAGGAAGGTTGGTGCCTCTGCCTGACACGTTTCTACTCCCAGGATGCAGGGCAGCATCACCCTGCTCCCAGTCTGCTCCCTCCAGCTCAGCTCCTCACCCCAAATGTCAAGAAAACTAATAGAGAAATTAAGAAAAAGCCCTCTGACTAAACCAAATTGCAATATTTATTTTGGAAAAATTACTGAATTACAGAACAGGAAACCCACTAAATAAAACCAGCCAGGCTGGTATTTGTCTCCCTTGGAATATGGCACTTTCTTTAAGCCACGTTAATATTTAGCCTCTCTTTTTTGTCCCCATTTGTATGTATTTATTTTTACAGAGGGGCTGGGATGTGACTAAGATCATTACACGTGTAACACTGCAGTGAAGTGATAATGTGTTTAAGGTTAAATGGGAGAAACATGACATTTGACTAATAAACTTTTTCCTGTGTTGTGACTCCATAAACAAAGGGAAACACACTGTGCTGCTGCTGCTGGGAGGAAAGGGGAGCTTGGTGGTTTTTTTTTTTTTTTTGCAAGGCCTTTGTTTGCTCCACACTGTATCATTAGATTCAAAGAGGCTTCGCCGAATACAACAGATATGAAATGTGTGATGTTCATTTTAAAATTACAAGTACAGCCTGCTATTGACCATCTAATTATGCTGAGTTCCATTTATAAACATAGCTAACCACTAAGTTTATAGAGACTTTTTGTGCTGCTTTAATAGGATATTGATCGAGAGCAAGGTTTGAGTGGACTGCCATTGAATTGTGTAATGGCATACAAAAGGCAAGGTCACGGCAACTGTTCACTCTATGCCTGCAGTCTATTTTTTATTATAATCTTTTTTTCTCCCTCTCATACCCAAGCCCACACAGAGAGTTTTGGATGGCAGTGCTTTCCTAAGGAATATAGAGTATCTTTTTAAATGTTAATTTTCATGCTGCCGACTTTAACTGCTTTCACTAGTATAGTGCTTAGGATAGCAGAAAACACACGGGCTGCAGCTCAGGGACAGCAGGTTTATCACACCCTGGCTGCCCACACGTGCCTGTGAGGAGGAGAAAAGCCTCTCTGGGCTACAAAAAGGCATCCACTGCCCAGCCCCTCCACAAGAGCCAGGGCACCCCACACCTTGCCAGGATGTGCTGGGATTCACTTTCCCTGTGGGAAAAGCTGGACGAGGAGGCTGCGTTTCCCTGGTCGCACCCATGCTCCGTGCCTGGAGTGCTGGCAGTGCCTCCCCATCCCAGCCCTTGCCCTCATGGCAAGGACACTTCAGTCCCTGTCTGCATCCCCAAAGCTCCATCCCCAAGCCTGGCACCTGCTGCATCAGCGTGGGTGCAGGATCCTGAGCTTCCCAAAACGTCCCGCTCACACCCGTGGAATTAGTGGAATTAGTCCGAGTGTTTCAGGGATAATCAGCTGGGCCATTTCTGTGTGTGCACACGAGCAGTGAGCAAGTTTGTGAGCTTGTGGTGCCACAGGCTCACCAGAAGGATTGGAAGTCCCCCCCACTGCTCCTCACTGCACACAGCACACGTTGAAGCCAACGTGTGGCATTTTCAGGCCAGGGTGCAGTCAGAATTCCCTTGTTTATCAGCACGAAGAATGATGTCATTTTGACAAATAACACACCACCAAACAAATATGTTTGATTTGGCTCTAGCCAACGTTCATAAATCCTAAATCTTTCTTCACATCCTGGGCAGTGCAGTTTATCTGGCTGCTTGAATGACCTCTGAGGGAGGAGATCTTCCCAGCAGCTCTCCCTGCACATGGTGCAGACTCAAAGCCAAGGGGGGATGCATTCCCCGTGCCTTTTTCCCTGCTCCAGCCCTTGCCAAGGGAAGGGGACACTCTGCAGCACCTCTGCAGAGGGTCTCCTCCAGTGCCCTGAGATGGCTGCCCACAGCTAGTGGAATATTTTCCTAAGCAGGGAGAAGAGGAGGAGGTTTCACTTGGCCAACAGCTGGCTGTCAGCTCCCAAACCCATCCGTCCCCGACGCTTCTGCCTCTGAGCCTTTTGTTGTCAGCACAGACCTCTCCAGAGAGGGAAGAATGAAGCCTCTGTTATCTGCAAGGGTCTCCCCAGTATCTGGGGTGACAGACAACACTCAGAGAGGAGCTCACACCCTCTGCCTGCTAATAATGGAGGAGAAGTGACAGCATGAGCTGCAACACCCACATCAGACGGGCTGGAGAGGAGTCTTTGTTTTTTCAGATGCACATCTATGATCTCTTTTCTCTGTTTTACTAGGCTCTGCAAGACTCAGCAGCTGGGCAGCATTTCGAAAGAAAATCTGCATCTATAGGACTGAAGAAAGCAAGTTTCTGTTACCAGCACAGTCTAGACTTGTTCAATAGCTCACAGAAAGTGTGATGATCAGCACTGATAGGCAAGATAGATAACAGAAACAGCTGACCTTTCACTTGATTAATTCATTCCCCAAATTTGCATGACGGAGACAACTGCCTCTTACTTGAGACTCCTTGTCATGTGGACCTCTGGGAACTTTACTAAATAAACCCGGCACATAATTGCTACCCACAATATTTTTAAGATTAATTTTGGATAACAGCTGCCTCAGGCCAGTTAAAACTGGGGGAAATCACTTATTTCTATCACTGCATTACCAAAGGCAAGCATAGAAAGAAAAATAACAGTGGGCATATACGCAAAGATGACCTTTTTGGAAAGAGGACTGGTCTCAAATCAGGACACAGGAACACGCAGACAACCCAGAGAGGGTTATATCAACTTTAAAAGACCTTGCTTACCAATTTAGGCAAATATGCAGCAATTACCTTGTTGTTCTGTTATGTTAAATAATTCTTCGAATATGAGCATGTGAATTAATACTGAGTTTTCTGGGAATGTGCTGCTGGACTTGACACTAAACATATCCCACTGGGTAGCCAGGGCATGTCAGGCTGTGGGCTTCTCAGACCTCATAAAGTAAACAAGGTTAAGGCTGGTCAGTACATGTCTGGGGCATCTCCAAGGAAAATCCAGGGTGCTATCAAAAGCAGTGTAGCTAAATCAGTTGCTGGCACTCTTCCCTCTGAGTCAGTTCTGAAGTGATATCCCGATATGCTTTGGGGACACTATTTTTGGTAGAGGTGCTGGCTTGTAGACAGGATATAAAACTGAGGTCTTGACCTCCCAGGATTATTAAAGAGCCCATGAAAAACAGTGCAAACTCCTGTGTCTGGAACAGATAAAAGCTGAATCTTTGCATTTTTCCCACCATCACCTCCTTTCTTATTTCTAATAAAGTCCATGCTCTTCCTGCGTGCAGGTGCCCCATCCTTGAAGGTGGTGCACGTCAACTGCAAGCAGAGGGAACATCTCAGACACAGCTCATAATTTGCAAAACATGCTGAGTGCTAGGATTTCTGATACCCAGTGTTTCAGTTTAGTTACAATAAAATATCAGGGAAAATTAATAAGCTTGAAACACGATGCTCACGAGGTCAGTGCCAAGCTCTGGGGGAGGCTGGGAAGGCTCCAGCCAGGAGTGGGGCACTTTCCTAGGAAAAGTGCACACATGGAGCACGGCTGACAGAGTCCAGAGGCAGCTCTGCTGTGCAGGGCTCCTCCAGCCAAGATAAGGCTGTGGGGAAATGGGATGCCTTGCAGAGGGGGAGGGTGAACCCTTTGGGCTTCAAAAGCCTCAGGCTGTCACACTGAAGTGAGGTGACACAGCACGGAGACACTCAGACCCTGGTGACAACCTGGGCTTGTCCACCCTGGCTGCAGGAACCAGCCAGGCTCTGCTCCCTGCACAGCCAGCCAGATGCCAAAGTCTCTGCTTAAGCACTTCAGCAAGTGAACTGATTCGCAAATGTGCTGAGCTCTCAGCAGCTCCTCTTGACTTTTGAGTCCTCTTAAGTTTGCCCTTCTCCCAAAATCCCCACCAGTTGTCAGGGAAGGAAGCTCGGGAGAAATGTCTTCTTCAATGTTTTTCTCTCTGCCTCTCTCCAGGGCATAGAGCTCTCATGTATCTCCCCCTTGCCATGCTTTTCTTGTACCATCCTTCTTCTGAATATAAAGCCAATTTAGTAGCTAGTGTCTTTCCAAAAGAGGAAATAAACCAGGAAAATCCTCTGAGAAACTCTGTGTTCTCACTCAAAACCATGGATTTTCTACTAGGTTTGTGCCAGTTAGATTCTAGCCCCAGAATGACTTAAATTACATTCCCAGAGCCAGCACACAAATAAATATTTCTGCTATCTAGGAGGAGAACCATTTTTATCATTTAAAGAGACTGGTTGCACCCTAAGGTTTTAAAGGGGCACAGAGCTGAGGGTTTCACCTGGAGCAGTGGTGATTGGTGATAATGTGATATTATCTCCGCACTAGCTGGAGAAAAGATCACAGAATGGTTTGGGTTGGAAGGGACCTTAAAGATCACCCAGTTCCACCCTGCCATGGGCAGGGACACCTTCCACAGCACTTCCAGGTTGCTCCAACCTGGCCTTGGACACTTCCAGGGATGAGGCAGCCACAGCTTCTCTGTGCCAGGGCTCTCCACCCTCACAGGGAAGAATTTTTTAGATCCCTAAAGAAATCCCTACAGGCCTGGCCTTGCAGCAGTGTCTCTGTGAGACCCTGTCCACACTCTTTCCTTGGGCTGTCTGGATTATGTCATAGCAAAATACAATCAATGCACCTTTGATCAATGGAACAGGGTGGTGACAGGTGCTCTTAATTTGGTGTTGTTAGTGAGTATTGACAAGGCTGTAATGATCATGCTGCAGCGTGTCACTCATGCTGGGGGCATTAGCATTCTTTAAAGGTCACATCCCAAATCCTTCTGGAGGCCAGAATTCCATACAGCTAATGGAAAACGTGGGCCTGGGGAAGTCAGGATGTGTGACATTAGCAGGGCTGAAGTTGGCACAGCTGTTGTTGGCATTATTAATGACTTCAGCAACTTGCAGGTGTATAAACCCCAAATGCAGAGAATACCCTGAGCTGGAAGGAACCCACAGAGATCATCAAAGTCCAGCTCCTGGCCCTGCACTGGGACAGCCCCAAGAATCACACACGTGGACATACACATGGCATGGATGAACACAATGGGAAAAAACAGCATCAGAAAATTTCCAGGTTTACGTGCACAGATCAGGTAATTTCCAGAGGTCTGGTTACAATACATCCCTTGGATCCTCCAAGGGATCCCTGGGAGGCTGATCTCTGTATGCATTTGTCTGCACTCTGCCCATTTTCAGCTGGGTACCAGACAAGCTTATCAACTTGCACATGCAAGTTTGCAGAATCGAATTCTTTATCAGCTCACTCTAGAATTCTGCTGGTTTATTTTCACCCATTAAAAGAAGTGGCACATAAATGCTGTCCACTGTCAAGAAGTGGGGAGAAGAGAGTCCTAATTTTCAAGATGCTGTTTCTGAATTGAGGAAGGGAACAATAAAAATCAAAGAAAAAAAATAACTTGGATTGCAGAAACCGCATAAATCAGACACAACATGATACTTACTTTGTGAGACTCTTACTAGCTCAGTCACACTGAAAACACCTGATGTGACAAAACTGTCCTGGAAGCCCAAATGTCCTACAAAACAAACAGAGAGAGAGAGAACTGCGATTAGCTTCAAGCATTTAATGACAGTATTCTCAAATACTTTACTTTCATTTAGACTTAAAATGTGACATCTAATTTCCCACTTAGCAGTAATTATTGTTTATGTAGGTGGGTAACCAGTCATACAGCTATGTAGGCTGCTTTGTGGTTTCTATCTAGAGGTTAGGAAAGCTAACATGACACATCAGCAGGGAGATTTTTACATGTTAAAGCATCTCAACAGGAAATCTGAAACAAAAGAGGACTATTTTAATAAATGGTTACCTTGGATGACCCCTAATGACTTCACAACTGAAATGAAAATACTGTACCTAGGAAACAGACAGGATAGCTAAGTTCCATAATCGTTTTAAACATTATTCTCTAAAGAAACATCTGATCAGGATTATCTACCCATTCATTCAAACCAAACAAGATTTAAAGATGTATTCTTCATTTATCTAAGGTTACACTAGGGGGATCTTAGGAGAGCAGATGGTTAAAAAAAATTAAATTAAGGCCTTTTCAACTAAAAAAAAAATAATTCTAACATTTAAAATTAGGTTTTGAAGGGAAAAATAAATCTCAAGTTAAAAAGTATTAACTTGGTGGGCTGTCTGTAGGAACCGGGGCGGAGGCATCCACGCTCACCTCCCCTGTGCAAGGAATGCCTCGACACTCGGCATCAAAATGTGATGGCACTTTACATAACAGCATTTTCCTTCTTCTCTGCAAACATGCCTACCACCAAATGTTCATTTAATTTTCACGGCTATGCTCAGTGACAAAGGAGCAGCCCGGGCTGCAGCCCAGGCCGGGATCCGGCGGGACAGAGCCGGACCTCAGTGAGAGGGAGGGAGGGAGGGCAGCGCTCGGCCGGCCGGGCTGACCTCCTGCTTGGGAAATCAGGGTCACAGCAGAAATCGCAGGATAAAGGGATTATTAAAAGAACTGTAAAGTCCTGCTTGCCCACAGGATAAGTGGCACACCTTTTTAGGTTGTCCTACTTAGAGTCACTGATTCCGGCGCACGCACACATTTATTATTGAATGTTTTGCAGGGCCACCATCTGCTCCGCCGGTAATTGTTTGTCAAGCTCAGAACGATTTCCCTGCATTCCATGTATTCTCCTGCACCCCACGCTCCTGCTGGGAATACCTGTGCACCCTTCTCAAGTGGTCAGAGCAACAGCACTAATGCCAGCTGCACGTTTGTCCCCCTGGCTTTTCTTTTTGGGGTTGTTTAAACAAACCCAGAATACCCCACTGCCATTTCTACCTGTGGAATGGGATGCGAAAAGAATGCACCTTCTGCACAGGTCTGCAGAGGGTGGAATGTCAGGCTACGTGTCAGGGAAAGGTTTGGAAGGGATCTGGAGGGAGGTGAGCCTTCCACCTCCAGCCAAGATCTGATGGAATTCTGCTCCTACACAGAAGAAGTTCCCTGTTTCTGCGAGGAGCCCACGGTGCCAGATGAACGCAGTCTCTAAGCTAACAGACTCGAGACAAGTTTCTGCATCAGGCATGTTTTTATACTCCAGCAATAATGATGAGTTTTCAAACTGTGTATATGTATATCTTTGGGCATCCTTGTGTATGTGTGTATACATATGTATTATGTACACAAACATATAAATATACACAAATCTGTCATGCTCCAGCTGTAGATAAATGTACTATAAAATATTGAAATTGATGCTGAAATTCAACACAAACAAATTCCTCAATCTGCAAACAAGGTTTTTATTTACATCAAGAGAATAAATTTTTCCCTACTTCAAATGAAAAAAAATGTTCTTACAAGCTTTTATTTTTCCTTATTTTCAATTTAGAAATAGCTCCCAGATAGCTGTAAGTGCTATTGCCTGATCTGCTTTGTATTTTCCCACAATAAAGGTGATGACTACCTCATTCTGCTTTTTAGAAACGGTTGCTGCCCATACACAACGTTTGTTCATCGCCGATTTCCCAAGTATTTTTAATATGACGATCTACTTTTCATATGCTGCAGCAGACCTGCCTATTGAATTAAATGATCTGTGAATTAAAAATAATTCTCTTAGGTCTTCACTGAAACCACTCATGTGCCTAAAATTAAGCATATGCTTAAGTGCCTTGCTGGATCGGGGCCAGGACGCTTACTACTCCGCAGAGCCCTTCAGAGGGAAGCCAGTCCATGCTATGTAACTTCTCACACTGTGCTCATCATGGCAGCATCTGAGCAACTTCCAGAAGTGCATCCAGCAATGCCACGAACATCTGCCACGTGTTGTTTTTTTTCTGCAGCACGCCACCCTGGCTCTGCTCTGGGGTCCACTCCCACCTGCATTTCCCAGGCAGGATCCCGCAGCACGGAGAGTGAAGGTGAAATTTAAATATGGAAGGGAAAAAAAAAACCAACCCTGAATCACAGGCACTATAGGATATTTGGCTGATTTTTTAAAGGGAAAGCCCAAAGCCCTCTGTAGTTATCCAGTAAAAATGTGATTGTGGCAAGGCAAACCACGTTACTTTAACCTGTCACACACAGGTGAAACCAGAAATGAAAGTGCCATTTTAAATACATTCTAACTCTCAGGGCATGAGAGAAGATGAGTAAGTTATCTTGGGCATGCTGACTTCAGTATTCCTATCTCTGGTACACTTCAAATGCCCACTTACTCCTGCAGGAACATTCCTTATTGGGAGTACATTAAACAACAGCATGCAACAAGCATGGCAAGATTTTCACCCTTCAATACCAAAAATAAACATTTCACAAATGAAAGGTGAATTTCACAACTCTCCAATTTGATATTTACTTATAAACATTAGGAAATCAGGGGCTTGCCTTGCCAATCATTAAGAATACCCTGATACCCACAAAAGCCTTGCCCTTGGCTTAGACCTGGATCATGAATGTATTTTAGGGTATGGTCGGTCTGTGAATTTGCAGTTCAGTAGAACCCCATGGAATTTTTAAAGGTTTGCCTGGATGGCTCAGACTGCAAAATCCAGGCCTAAGACTCTCGTTTTTGCTGAGCTTGGATAACAGTGAGAGAAGAAAACGAGGGAAGTAGTACAAAGAACTTAAACGTGTAAAAGAAGAATTACTGGGAAACAGCAGCACTGACAAAAGATGTGAAGCCAACATTATTAACAGGGGTCAAAATGCAAAAAATGTACCAGTTTGGCTGATCCACTTAATTCTGAATGAGGAGAAAAATAGGTAAAGTCAAGCAATTACATATGCAGATGTTAGCATTAAGAAGCTCCTGCGCTGAAAAGATGATTAAACATCCCAAAAGCTCCCAAGATTTACTTTTCATAGTGCACTTTACTGAAATACTTGCACTGTGATAATTTTGCTCAGTATCCAAGAGATGGGACATTGAAACTGCTGTGTATGACAGGCTATGCCTGCAGCTTTGTGCAGCAGTCACAGTTTGGTAGTAAAGGAGGTGCCCAGAATGAACCTCCCAGAGTTCATTCACTGCAGTTTTGGGTACAAATTAAGACACGTGGCTGGCCAGGGCAGGCCCTGACTCAGCAAAGCTGCTGGAACACGTGCTCCACTTCCATCACACGCCTGGCTAAAGCACGTGCTCACTGCCCTGCCAAACAAAGATGGGCTGACAACCTCCAGGAGGAATTAAATAAATGGTTCAATCACTCCTTCAGGCAAGTCTAGGGGCAGGTGGGACTTAGCTCATCACCTAAGATCTCACTTCAGCCCACAAGGATGATCATGTTTCCCTAAGGGGGGAAAACACCCAGGATAATAAGACCAAATTGAATAAAGAAGATTAGTAAATAGTAAAAATTTAATAGTAACTATTAAATCATTGTGCACAACAGCACAACGTTATTTTACCAGGTACCACATGGAAAACGTTTCTCCATAACTTGATGGCTGCTTTAATTGGGGACAAAATTCCCAATGCCATTTACATATTCTTCCTTTGGATCCCAGCAAAGAAGCCAGAAGAAAAGGCTTCAATTGCTGGAGCCTAATTCTGATCTCTCTCAAAGAAGTTTTAAACAAATCTTTCTACACTGATCAAATAGAGTTTCACCTCATTTTCTCCTAATTTACACTGGCAGAGGAGAAATCAGGATTAGGACTTGTTGTCTAGTGCTATTTGTTTTGAATTATTAAGCAAACATTCCTATTTCAATGAGTAAACGTGTACAAAGGCAACTAACCTTCGTCCTAAAATGGAGTTTACAGGGAGAGTATTGTCTGCTTTCCCAATTAATGCAGTAAAAAGGAGTCTCAGAGGTTGAGCTACCAATCAAGAGCTTGTGTTGTAGCTTGAGAAAATCATGACTGATGCAATTACTTTTATGTAGAAAGTCTGAATATAGTCTATAGGTTAAAGTTCATCGGGTTATTGTTCCTTAATTGAATATCTGAAGATGTTTTCAAGGTGCTCAAGGTATTATTGTTATTTAATTACCAGGCTTCCTTGCATATTCCAACAGTGTTATTTTTGCTGTAAAATAGTTAGATAGCACCATAAATATATAAGGTATTTTCTAAACAGAGATGCAGCTGGTTTCCTGAAAGCCAAGCTTAAATAAAACCAGGAGAGAGTTACTCCTTTGAAGATGAAGAAGCCCAAATCCAGTTATTTTTCTTCCACTACAATCTGAGTGACAGTGTATTGAGCTTCAGAGAACAGCTTTTTGGGAGACTTTGATTCCTTTTCAGTGTTTTGAAATTACACAAGTCCCCCAAACTAACACTGAACCCATTTCTTAGGCTTTTTTCATGTTCAGCATCTCACTATACATAGCCATCTTAAAACCTTAAAATAGTAATAATCAATTAGGGTCTCAAGCCTATTATCTTAACCAAATGCCTGATTAAAAGAAAAGCCCTCTCTGCTCGAAGTGCAACTTGATTCCTTTTGGTTTTATCCTCTATCTAGATAATCCCATGTTTCACAAACAATGCGGAGCAATAATGTGGATGAGAAAATTAATGTCTGTATCACACAGCACACGCAG